ATCAATAGCGGTGCATCGACGCCGACGCTCAGCGGACGGTGAGCGGGGAACACCTGGGAGCGCGGAGTCCGGCGCCGGATCGGACACGTCTCGCCTGGGACCACCGGTAACTGGGGGGGGGGGGGGGGGGGGGGGGGCATGCGCCGACGGCGGGCCGTGCCCGGTGATGCCCACAACTTGCTGGCGGCGTTTACCGCTCGGTAACAGATGCACCATGGCGATGCTGCACAGAAAACAGGGTCGCACCGAAACGGGTTCTTGAGGAGAGAATGTGCCTTTCTTTTCTGTTTGTCACTCAGACCTGCCTTCCTAAAGCCTGGCAACTAGGTGATGATGATAATAAAATGGTGATTATTGCTTACATAACACGAATCTCTGCAAAGGTCATGAAATCCTGTCCAATAAAAAAGTGCGTGCAAAGGGGCTATTTCACCAGCTGAAATGCTTCGTCTAATTATGTACAGCTATGGCCTCATCATTGATAAGCCACAAATTGTTTCACAAAAACCTTCTGAGCAAAGTGCTCTCAAACACGTCACAAAATGTCTTGCTGCTCATTATCATTTGCTCGTAAACCACACCAGCATATATAATTGTACACAGCCATAACTGCATCATCGACAAGCCTTGAAATGTTTTCACAAAGACCTACTGAGCAAAGTGCTCTCAAACACGTGATGAAATTGTTTTGCTGCCCATTAACACTTGCTCGTAAACCACACCAGGATATATAATTATGTACAGCCATGGCCGCATCATTGATAAGCCACGAAATGTTTTCACAAGGAACTACTGAGCAAAGTGCTCTCAAACACGCGACGAAATTGTTTCGCTGCCCATTAACATTTGGTCATAAACCACACCAGGACAAGAGTTGGGGGAAACGCTTCAGGTTTATTCAGGAGGGAGCGCTTTAGACGTATTAAATGTATTCCCTGAAGCAATAGGCGCCAGAAAAGATTAGAAGGGCTTTCTCGGCCGCGTTTTTTAGGCTTTTTCAAACTGTTAGTCGCATCATATTGAAATTTGTGAACCCTTATTTACAACCTATTTACAACGCCATTAATTATTATCATTTTTCTTATTAACTTCCATTATATATAATTATATATAATTATTATATATGATTATATATATATATATATATATATATATTGTATATATTTATGCATTTATTTTATTTATTATATCATTAACCCTTATATACAACGCCACACGGCGTTGCAATGCCTGCCTGAAAACGTCACTTTACCAGGACTTCTTGCATACAGAAGGCCGATAAGTGTCAACATAACGACTCACAACCAATAAAGTAGATTTCGAACTGTTCCAAGCATCCTGAGCAAACAGCTGTTGGTAGAGAATCAGACTAACCCCATGCTCATATGCAGCGTTATCCGCTACTGGCCTTTACAAGTAGATATGGCAGTATGGCACAGCGAACCATGATCGGCAAACTCAGCTTTTAAAGGCCATCGTCATTTACTCGCGGCCTAGCGAGATATTGTCATGATTCTGCGCGTGCCGTGGATCTACTCGGCTGAAAGTTGCATTCAACAATTTGTGCAAATTGGATAAGCAACTTGATCACGACGCTGACAAATTGTCATCGCCCCGAAATTTTATTCAACTGGTTTCCTGTATTACAATATAAAGCCACAGCTTTTCACATTCCGAAAATTCAACAAACGTGTCAGAATAGTGTCATTCACACACACACACACATATATATATATATATATCTTTATTTATATTATATATATAGATATATATATAGATATATAGATATATATATATATATATATAGATATAGATATAGATAGAGAGAGAGAGAGAGAGAGAGAGAGATAGAGAGAGAGAGAGAGAGAGAGAGAGAGAGAGAGAGGAGAGAGAGAGAGAGAGAGAGAGAGAGAGAGAGAGAGAGAGAGAGAGAGAGAGAGAGAGAGAGAGGAGAGAGAGA